TCCCGACACTGCTGAGAGCGGCATTTACATGAATATATAAATATGTGCTGCATGTCCTTGTTACAGTGTAATTATACATTTAAGTACTGAGTAATATTAATTAACTACATGTACTTACTAGGGATGTGCGGGTCTAGTCGACTAGTCAGTACTAAACGGTACAGCTCCTACTAGTCGACACTGAAAACAATAGTCGATTACACGACAGAAAAAAAACAAAAAAAAACATGATTTTATCATTCAAATTACTGTTATTTTAACATTGCATTTAAAACATTTTAAATAACAAGTTAAAATAACAAGTTAAAATAAAACGTTTGAAAAATAATACATTATTTTTAAAAGTTTATCTGGGCAGAAACTACATTTTTACCTCAGACCTCACATGCGTTTTCTTCGTGTCAGTTGCGGCGAGTTCAAAAATGACCATGCGAAAGACGAGAAGGTGTGGGATTATTTTGAATTAGAAGGAAACGGAAAAGTTTTGTGTAAACTGTGTAATGTCAAATTGTCTTACAATAACTCTACTGGAGCGATGCGTAATCATATTCAATACAGGCCGGTAGGCGTTAGCTTAGAGGCTGGCCAAAACCAGCAAATGTCTATCACGTCATTCACTACAACCCGCCGGTGCTGCGATCCCATCCGCGTCGGATACAAAACTTTCATTAAACGTCAGTCAAATTAGTCGTCGCGCACATCCCTAGTACTTACTATATGGTTAGGGTTACTTGCATGTAATTATGCATAATTAATTGTTATTATAATAGTAAGTACACGTAACGTGTAACAAGGACACCTTAAAATAAAGTGTTACCCAAAATAATCAACAAAATGACAGCAGTGAGAAAACAGCAGTTAAGAAAGTGTCTGATCATAGCGATGGATGTTTGCACCAGCTCTGCAATTTGGCACTACAGTAAAATCACATCACGTTTATTTATATACAGCGCTGTCACTAGCTAACTTTCCATCTACTTTTTGCACTGTTCTGTTGTCAACAATTTGCTGTCTCCAGCCTGATTCCATCCAACTGGCCTTTTACCGATAAAAATGTGTGCATGATGCAGTCATCCATTAAAAAAATGCATTGTTGCATTAGTTTTGTTGTAGCGCAAACTATATAATTTAATTGTAATATAATCGATTTAACGCCCTTTAAACATTACAGAGAAATGGTTCTTTAACAGGAGCAATACTGTGAATACGAACACTGCACGTAGTCTGTCATGTGACACATTTACTTGAGTTAAAGACCGTTTTCTTGACAAAGCGTTTGCAAACAATTTGTTGCAGCGTTTTATGTATCTACATTTCCGTTAAACAGAAAGAGACTGTTGACACTTGAGAAATTATAGCGATAAATTAATTAAAAACTATCTAAATTTCCATCTGCTAGATCAGTAAGCATTTTATATTAGAGGTGCTTCGATCAGGATTTTTGAGGCCGATCACCGATTGCCGATCACAGAAAACATTATCTGCCGATACAGATCTTTTTAAAGCCTTATTTTTATAATTTATAACTATTTATAGTGATACTCCAATCAGGATTTTTAGACATTTATTCAGGGCCTGTAATTACTACATTTTCGTGTCAATCCAGGTTCATATTTACTGCAAAAAAATGTGCTGTTACTTTAATTCAGCGCTTGCAGCGCAGAAAAAATAAACTCGGTGCGGAAACGATCTCTGCACTGCAGCAGACGCACCGCCCCTGACCGCACTGCTGGACCGCAACCATGCCCAGTGTGCACGCTTTATTAATCTGTTAACATGAGCGCGGAAAAAATACGTACCACATTCGCACTGCAAACGGAGTAATGTGAACCTGGCATTATATGTGTGCGCTGCGAGTGTGCATGAGCGCAGTCTCCAGGAGAGCGCGCGAGCACTGAATGGTTAAACACTGGCAAGAATTAAAAAGAAATGCAATTTATAAACTTTAGTAACGATGTGACACTGCCTCGCAAGTGACAATTCCTGTGTCAACTGTGCAGCGTGCAGTTCGCTTATAGACAGACGCGATGTGGTGATTTGAAGCCATTTGCGTATTTTGAGAGAGAAAGAGTGAGAGCGCGC